GCGAAGGTCTTGAGAGAGCTCTTTACTTTTACCCATCATCAGATGGTTCTTTTTACACCTCCCTTTCTTCATGTGTTCAATACTTTTTCCCTGTGCCATTCCACATTATTACAAATAACTTCATTTCTGGACATTTATGGTTTGATTTYTTTGTATGTATGGATCACTTGGGTTGTTACCGACATCTGGTGAAAATTTCATGTCATTAGTAAATGACATGTCAGTCATGTCACTGCTGACATGTAGTCAGCAGTTATTTTTGACAATATTTATTTTGTTCATTTATTTAATTATTCTTTTGAATTCTGAGTACCTGTACATACACATTCCATTAACACATTGACTAAATGAGCAGCAGAACCAAATATTATATATATAGCAAACTTTTCATCAGGAAATGATCAATAAATATTTTTAATTTTTCTTACTCATTCATATTTATGTATTTCACCAATCAAAGAGGAACTTGTTCTTAAATTTAAAAGTATTTTATAAACTTAGTTATCAATACTGCTAAAACCATCAGTAATTTTTTGCAAATGGTCACTTTTTTCGTCAACAGTCACTTTTTCACAGTTTTATGGTCAGTTTAACGCACGCACGCAAACACACACACACAGTATGTTCAATGCACGGCCCAAATCTTAGGTTTGGGAACGCTCTCAGTGTCCTTACAAGGAAAACTCTAAGTACACTGGTTGGAGTCCTAACTGGGCACAATCTGCTCAACAGCCACAAAATGGTGATGGGACTCCATGACAATGTTGTGTGTGATTAGAGACCTCTTTGCACCCTATGGATCCCGGCACTGAGTGTTTCTAACTCATGTCCCCGAGGGAAGTGAAGGTTTGAATAAAGACCAGTGTCTTTTTAAGGAGAGCAATGGGCCCACTTATGAGGCCTCCACTCATATGGGTTCATTTATCTCCACTCACAGTAAACCATGTTTAATGTAAAAACAAAAAGTCCTACAAGGTTCAGACTTTCAGGATAAAAAAATGATTTTGACAACACGGCGTCAAAGCTGAACCTGCTCATTCAGCTGTATTACAGGCAGCCCAGCTGATGTGCTTCGCAGACTGAAACTGGAATTTATGATTGATGAAGAGTAAAGCACACCTCTGCTCATTCTAAGCTTTGTAGTACAAGAATGAAAGACATTTTTTTCTAAAATTAGTTTTAAGAAATACAATAATACTTTGATTCCCAGGAGTCAGCTGAACTTACAGGCAGGTCGTATAACGTTGCTCTAAAATGGAACAACTTCTCACAAGTAATCCATTAAAACCTTTCAGTGGGTCACCAGCTAATTAAGCAAGCATTTGTATTTCCATTATCACTTTAAAGTTTACTTGATTGACATCCAGGTATTTTAAATATAAAGTCCAACTGGCTTGCATAAATTTAGAATTCTTGTTTGTACATATATATTACGATTAATGTTTGTATTTTCACACAGCCCTTTAGATGGACTCTGTTGCTAAGAGCTAATTCCTTATGGAGTCACATAAACTGTGAGCTAAAAACTAGGTTACTCAGAGCATACCTGTTTTTAGAGGTACTTTGTGTTTATTTGGATCAGATACAAATTAATATGGTGTATATGATGTGAGTTCAAATGTTTTACAGTTAGATGCAATTTTGTATAAATGGGTTTACAAGTGCATTTACTGTTAGGCAAATTATATTGCTTTATACTTAAATAACTATCATGCCCTCGCTAATAAAATAAAGAAGAAACAAAACATGGTTATATCTCAAATATGCTTGTTCAGCAAATCTTTCAGTAAACACACAAAAGTGCACTTTTTCTTCGTATGTGCATAATTTTTTGATGAACCATAATATAAAACTCATTAGTGCCATGTCTAGAGAGCATGTGAGATAAACAAGAAAAACAACATTATGATTAAAAATTATTGCACAATTTTCTGCTAATTGCCAAAAGTCTATGGTTATTTTTTTAGCAGCGACCTTAGTTTCTCAAATTCTGTTTAACCATAGTATCTTCTATGCCTGCCGTGTATTTCAGATATAAGGACTTGTGAGTTCCCACCGCAGTTAAAGTGAGATGAGGAAAGAGGCAGGCCAATATTTGAAGCCTTTTGATGTACAGTCAGAAAGTCCTGTGAGATGGATCACTGCCATGCATATAAAATTCTGCACTGCTCCGTTTGAATTTAACTCGTAAATATTTTTTTCAGCGATGGCTGTGCTATTCGCAGTCAATCATGTTCAGATTAAGTGTCGAAGTTTCAGCTTCCTCTTAAAGTTTTATAACAGTTATGCTCTTTAACTTGTATTTCTGCCTTTATCCAGCATTATTATTGTCCACAGCAGTCCTCTCTGCACTGCAGTTCTACGGCCTTCTTTTTGGTTGTTTTCAAAAATAGAAACAATCCATTTCTTGCCCTCCACTGTGTCCCCATGTGGATCTGTAACTTTACTTTGTACTTGTCCTAACCTCTGCTGAGGCTGAGCTGCTCCCTCACATTTCTTGTACAAATCTAGAACATTTTCATGGCTTTTCCTGACACTGATTAAAAAGTGCGAAGTGATCATTACTATTTCTGTCTGCAATGTCTATCTATTTGCTCAAAGCTTGCAGCTGAATGTTTTGAGCTTCCTGATTTTTCACAAAGCCTGCGATATGTGGTTGCATTTTTAAATTAAAGATATGATGATGTCCCACAAATAGCCTACCTTCTTGATAGTTGCTATCTTTTAAAGTACAACTGGTAAACGAGTCCAATCACAAATTTCCTAATTGTAGAGCTATGACAGTGAGATCTATGTTATGAAAAGTGAAAATGCCTCCAAATTGCAATGAAAGACGTGCAGATGTCACTTATTGTATTTACAACTGAATAGTTAACTCTTTAACCTAAGAGAAAATGTCCTACATTTAATTTAATTTAAATTTTATGATGCACATTTGTTTCATAACAGTACACTGCGATCCTTGTAACAGATTGTCTTTTGTTTAAGGCGATACACACTCTCGCCAGAGCTTTTTACTCTAATTTAAAAAAGGGAAACTCCTCCTCGCGCTGATTGGTATCACTTTAAGACAGATCATATACCGGCTGAATAAAAAGGAACATCCACCCATTTGGTTCGTTGACTATGGATCATTTTAAAATTAATCAAATTATTTTTACGTATTGACATGAAAAAAATCATTTTGTCAGAATAAAAAAAAACATAAAATAACTACTAAAAAGTTGAAGTTTTAGTTCGCATGTGATAAATGTTTGACTTCCGCTTCGATGATTGACAACGCCGCTCGTCCAATCACTATTCAGCCTCTTTCAAAGTTTGCTGTGACAAACCGGAAGTACTGGTGGAAGCTACGAGCTATGATTTTATCCTCTTGATTCCTACTCTCTTCTGAAAGGTACAATTTCTGTTCATTTACGGTGTGGTGGTTAACGTGGATCACATTATTGCATGATAACGACCGAGCTGCACTTCACTATCGAACTGCCAGGAGATTTTTTTAAACAAGTTCAGTATCGATAGTGAGCGATAGCTAACGAGCTGGGCTAACAGGTGACCGCTCGAATTGATTTAGAAGTAAAAATCTGTTTTTATGCTCATTTCCCTCACAATCTTATCTTCGTTTTTTGGCTATTGTTTTTGTCTGTGTTGGACTCACCTGTGTCTCATCTTGTCAGGTGTTACCATGTCAAAACAGCCGATGGGGAAGACACTGCTGCGGAATGTAATTCGACACACAGATGCCCACAATAAGGTGCGTTTGGGGAAACTAACGTGAAGAAAAAACAAATTGTAGTCACCTAATCATACTAAATCTTGCTCGACAGCTCGAGGAAGAATATTGTACTTGAGTGTCCGTTCGCCTGACACATGAACCTGAATAAAGATCTGCAAAAGAACATGATGGAAACATTACCAGCTTGTCCAGCAACAAACTAACGAGACAGGGAGTGAGCAGAAAATGCCCTCTGTATGATCCAACAAATCTCATGGAAAAAAAAAGGTGAAATTCTTGATGGGATGGACCACACTGAAGTAACAGGTTAACACAACATGTCTGTGTCAAGTGGCTGATGCCAATTAGAAAGAAGTATTATTTTAAAGTCAGGTTCTTATGTCACTTATGGTTGTTTTTACTTGTCAGTTTTATTATTTTATCAATTTTTTTGGCAATTTTTTAATGAAATGTGCAGTTACTTCTAAGCTTCCCCCACACAAACTGGTTCCCAAGTTTTGATAGCACAGCGGAGTGCACACAAAACAACTCCTGTAACGAGAAAGCACTCTCTGTAATAATGACGCCCGGGCTGGCAGGTGGACACCTCTCCTGTGTGACTGATTCTGGCAGGCTCTCGTTTCCCAGCATGCCACTGTGTACGATAGGAGAAGCTGATTAGACAACGTGCAGGTGCTGCTGTGCCATTCAGCTCCACCTGGCAGTGCTAATGAAGCAATGTGACCTAACTCTTCAACATCAGCTGAGCAAAACCATTCCTCATGACCGCCGAGTTGTTTTCCCAAATCATTTCAAAGGAATTTGTCAAGTTCAGTTATATTAGTTGGTTTGGTGGTGGGAACAAGACCCAAACACTAGGATTGTTATCACGTTACCATAATAATGTCCTGATTTTAGCTCTGGTTTAAAGTTATATTGGAAAAACTCCTTATTATTCCGTCTACTTGCCCCATTCTCCTAGTTTTGACATCACAGTCCTAACCATGATGCTACCACCATCATGCCTAGCAGCTTGTACGGTCATACCCACCACAGTTTAAACCCACATTCTTGTGGGATAATCAGAAAAAAACTATCATCTAAATAGCAAAACGTTTGCTTCACGGGGAGTTTACTACGATGTGGTCAGCTGCAAACGTAAATCAGGCTGCTTTGTGTAATTCTTTTTGTGGATATCAACATCCAAGTTCATGATGCTCAAAACTTCTCCTGAAGAAAATCAGAAAAAAACTAAACTTCCAGTAGTCTTTACTTCATAGTGAACCAAGGCTTTGGTGAGTAGATCATAATCTGTTATTGAGATTCAAAACTTTCAGCACTGCTCAGATTTTCTCAAGGAAAATTTGCAAACGTTTAAACTTGGTTGCGCATATCTCATTTATAAAGATCTACATGGTTCAGTTATATCTCTGCACAGTGGTTTGTATGTGTGTGTGTAGCTTGTAAACATGGATAGAACTAAATATAAACCTGTCTCTGCCATGTCTTTTGTGTTGTCGACTCACTGCAGATCCAAGAAGAGATGGAGATGTGGAAAATGCGGGACTGGGAGGTCCAGATGTCCCGACACAAACATTTTCCAGATACAGACAGTGTGAGGTAACCGTCCCAGTTTAATCTATGCTGTTAACACAAATGATGCTACTTGTCTCTCAGTTTGTCGAGCCGGTGGTGTATTGGAGCTCAACAATTTCTGAAATGCACTTTTATTCCAGAGGACAGATGCACTGTGACAGAGTTCCAGATTTGTCCAGGAACAGGAGTCGAGTTTCAGAGCACGATGACAGAGAGGCTCGATACTGGACCCGCAAACTCTATGAATTTGAGGCCAGTGATCCTGACAGGTACACTGCATGACAAATTTATTTTTCCCTTTTAGGATTCTGTCAGTGTCTTTACACAAACACCTTCACCGTAGTGTCATTTTTGAAGCGTCTGACAAGATTTCAATTTTTTTTACACACATCTTGTGTTCTCCTCACAGATGGGGACACAGCGGCTTTAAGGAACTTTATCCTGAGGAGTTTGAAAGTGACAAGTAAGCAAGAAAACAAGACCTTAAAGGGACACTCCAGACGTTTCAACAAAAACAATCTCGTGTCATGTTTTGACAATTTTATTGTTCTCCTCTCTTTAGTGAGAAAAGCAGAGCCGCAAAGAAGACTGGCGGTCACAAAATGAAGAAGTCCAAGTCTGACACAGAAGCGTGCCTCTTAAAACGATCAAAGAAGTCATCTCGCAAGAAGAAAAAGAAAAAGAAGAAGAAAAGCGGGAATGAAAAGCGAAAGAAAGACGAGTCCTCAAGCAGCGACGTCAGCGCCGATGACAGAAACGATACAAAGGACAAGCAAAAGAAGAAAACACGGACTAAGAGCAGACACAAAAACAAGAAAACCAGAGAGAGAAATGAGGACAGCAGCTCAGAGGACAGCAGCTCAGAGGAAAAAGACAAGAGACGGACTAAAAGTTGTAGAAAGCGAAAGCAGGAGTCCCTGAAGGACTCGGACTTGGAGCTGGGCTCCAAAAAGAAAAGGAGAAAAAACTGGAAGGCAGCAGGCGAGGAGAGCTCAGACAATAGTCCTACAGACTGAGACACACAGATGTGAACAGACGCACAGCTAACGAGGAGGAAAACTACTGCAGGGTTGTTGTTTTTTTGTTTTTTTTTAGCCTGGGCTCCACAGAGGGCTCTTGACTGTGGGGCTGGTTTGTGTTGCATTTTGTTCTACATCAACCAACTTGTGCCATTTGTTCCTCTCTGTGGCTGCTCTGAGGAGTAATATCTCATCGGCTCTGCGGTACAGTCAGCAGGCAGCGTGGAGGAGGAGCTGAATCCACCACCTGCCTCATCAGGACTCCTGCAGGCTGCTGCCTCACTGATTGATCACTCTGCTCTCAGATTCTCTCCTCAAATTAACCGTTTTTATTTAGTTAAAAAGAAAAGAAGAAATTATGCAAATTTTATTAACTATACATCTACTTTTAATACCTTTTTTTAGTTTTATAAAGATGTACTGTTTGTATTTAGACAAGTGTATTATATCAAAATAAATCTATTTTACTATTGTCTATATTTTGATGTGAAGAGTAGTGAGACTTTTTAAAGCAAGAACTTCATCAATTAAAAAGTAATATCACTGAATAAAACTTAATTTTGTAGCAAAAGAGCAAGTGAGTTGCAGGAAAGTTGGTTTTTCTTTTCTTTTTTTTAAATTTAAACTTCTTTAAACCAACAAAGAAAAACTAATAATGCTCTGGTTAGCACAGGTTAAGTTGTACATTTGTTTTAAATTAGCTTTAAATGTTAAATAAAGATTTATTTCACAGTATATTAAAAATAAACTCAAAAATGATCAGTTTAATACAATATAAATAATACCATAATATGTTTTTTAATTACTTGTATTTTAATGTGCTGCTGTTGGTGTTAAAGTTCACCAGTGGATCACATTTCTCTGTAATTACAATGGATACGAACACTTAAATAGATTTCTTGTACAGAACACTGATGATGCTGTCAAGTTAAAATTGTATCTGGGATGCCGCAGATGTTTAATATTCCACATCTGAAAATAGTTCCCAACAATTCCCCTGTAAACTTTTACTGTAGAAATATTTCCTAGAAGTACATTTGTCAACAGAAATTTAAAATGAAGCGAACTTTAAAAGAAAACATTGATGAAATTTACTATTTTTGTGGGATTTGAGTATCACTTAAACATACATTTTGAACCTGTGACATAAATTCTGCCACATTAAATGCTTCATGTTAATTTTCATGCAGAATTATAATTGCAAACACAACTATAGGCTCATGCTATTCTCAGTTGGCAGCCAAAAAATAATAATAAATAAATCCAGTTACATCATTGAATCATATTTTTCAATAAGAGACCTTGTAATTCTTTTGATTTGTCAAGTTGTTGGTTAAGAAAGAAACACGGGGCAGCTTCCTCTCGGGGGGGCTCTCAAGGATCAAACACCCACCAACACTCCTGCCTCAGTCTGAAAACTTGTTTACGCTGCAGAGAATAGTTTTTAATAAGCTGCTGTTTGTGATCAAAGTGAATACATTTAGAAACTTGTCAAAGTTTTTTATGCTACAGTCAAGAAGTTCCAAGTAGTTCATTTTGATGAGGAGCGAATGAACAGCCCCGTGTTATGCAATACTGTGTATGCTCTGCCTGGAAAAAAAAAATGAAGCAATCCATTAACACCATAAACAGGCCTCTTGAACTCTTCTGTACTCCGTTGTACCATTATTCCAACCCTATTAACATCATCTTCTGTGCAAACTGGTAACAAATGGTAAGCCGCTGCCATTAGGGTATATTTAGATGATCTGATGCCAGAGGAAGTGTTAGTAAACCACTTTGAAACTGTGTGCACTGTAAAAGCCTGCAGCCCTGTGCTAAGTCTGTGTCAATAGGCTAAGTGCTTTCTTTAGGCGGGAGTGAGAGCAGAGTTCAGTCTGGCTGTAGCTGCCAGAATCTGCAGGATGGAAACAAAAAAGTCATGTGAAATCAATATAGATGGGATTTTTTCTTTTTAGTTATTTACATGTGAAGCTTGTGAAAAGCTGTGTGGTAAAGCATTCGGTGCTTCACTGTCTATAATTCAAGCCCCCTTGTGCGGAGCAGAACTAGACTTCTTTGCAAGGGGTGGCACAGGTGGGGCCCAATCAGCAGCTAACTCCAGGCCACACCCACTTCACCTGGAGAACAAAAGAACAAAAGTTAATTCAAGCGACAGGAGTCGTCACATTCATATACAAATAAATAAAAGCGTTCTGGATTTGAAAATTCAAGATGGTCACCACAGCTAATTCCAAATGGATTTAATTCAGTTGTTTTAAGAAATTTTGAACTCAAATTATGTGTGATCATAGCAAAGAATGATCTAATAAACATACTGAATGCTAGTCCCAACTTATTATTCAGCCATTTTTAGACATAGAAAGCTGAAAATTGGTGAAGTAGCTGAATTTTTTTTTTACCAAATTCTAAATGCCAATCAAAAATTCAAGATGGACCCTACAGCTAACTTTAAAAGGCTATAATTTAGCATTTTAAGACTTATTGAGATGAAATTTTTGGTGGATCAGCTAAGAATGATCACATGCTAATTGCTGATTCTAAAGCCAAAATAAGCTAACCAGTTATGCTAATCTTACAAATGTCTATTATTAAATCATTTGTAAACAAGCACAGCTGAAAATGGATATTGAAGTGGTATCAGAGAACAATCTTTAACAAAAGCTAAATGCAAGGACAGAATCCAAGATCCCCGCCCACTTGTCAGTTATTTGGGGGTGGCCAATCAGGTGCCAGGAATGGGTACTTGCCACCCCGGCCACCCCTCTGGTTCCGCCCCTGCCCTTGTGGCCAAATTTTCTGTTTCCAACCATCAATTAACACTCATAATTTCAAGATTTTAAGTCTGCTCAAATTGTGCAATTACATTTGGTTTCAGAAGAAATTCAATTTTCATTATTGAAATATAAAAACAGACATTTAGAGCTGAATTTGAGTTAGCTGTAAAGAAAACAAAGATCAGTCTAATTTATAACATACAATAAGGTGCAGTTTGGAAAAAAATCATGATATAAGAATCAATTTCTGGTTTGTTGCCAGTGCTGATTTCATCAACACACTACAGTAAAATTAACCTTTTAATTTATTGAACAACCCCCAGCCTCAGCTCAGCTGCAAAAGCGTAATGATTTTGTCGACAGCATGGTCTGCATGGAAAAAACTTGAGTTATCCATGCACTAAACCACGTTCAGATTGGACTTTTCAACACATTAGTATGCATTAAACAGAAAATGGGATCTTGAGTGAAAGAAATAATGGCCCTCATCAAGTCAAGGCTCCCTATTTTTTTTTTTGCATCTACTCAGAACTGCTGATGAAACACTTAGCTCTACCCCTACTGTTTGCTACTTCAGCTGTCCAAGCCAATTTTTTAAGACGCGGTGAAATCTCTGCATCCTCCTACCTAAGCAGATTTAGTGTTAAATAATGGTTACAGAGAGGAACAGAAAGAAATACTTCCCAGCAGAGAGAAATGGTCTGCTGCACATTTCCATGCTGTACGTGTCAGTAGTTAACGCAGAGACAGACTGGAGCTGCAAAAGTTGGTGCGCCAGAAACTGACAGCTGAGCACTTACACCCCCAAAGTTTAGTCTTCTGCTAAACAAGAAAGGAAATCTTGGCTTGTGAAAAATGCAAATCTTGTGGCTGAAAACTGGCTGAGTGCTGATGGAAGAAGATGAAGGCTGACCCTGTTCTTAGGCTCTATCTTCTCTGTCACTACAGATGCAAATAAGACACCAATACAGCAAAAATAATAAAAAAAATAAAAATAATAAAAAAACACCATTATGACTTTTCTTTTTCTATGCCGTTTTAACTCTCTACTGTTCAAGTATCTTGGTTTTATCTGTGTGGAGCATCTCTAAGCAGAGGAAGAGGGTGTTTTCTGTTGCTGCAAACAAATATCTACTGTCCAAACTGATCATATCTTTTTCCTGTTGTTATTTTTTGGTTTAGTACTGTATTCATTCATCATTTACACAGAAATATAAAAAAAAAAAACAAGGGGGTGTAAAACATCCTTAAACAACCGTGAACCTATTATTGGCTTACTTAAATCAAACCAAGTGATGTATCTGACTGAACTGCTGCGGATGGAGGAATTTCAAATTTTTTGTATGAATGTGTTTTTATAAACTTGCTTTATGAATTTTTATAGGTTTTTAGTGTTGTGTTTGATGTGTTGTTCCATTTATTTTAGTATATTACATGTCTGGTAAGCCAGAGAAAAATTTCTACTATGGTGGATATTAAAGTTTTATTCTATTCTATTATTTCCCAAATATTGGTGTCACAATAAAAAAAAATCTTTAAGGTGCCAAGATGCAAGTAAATAAGATTTACTTGCCGATAAGGATAAAAACTTAGGCCATGCCACATGGTCTATGTGCACAAGCCCACCTCCCCAAAAATCTATATTTTTTTAAAGGCAATGTAGAACACAAATATATTAAAATTTTAATGTTGAAAATTTTGGGATTCACCAGGCATCCTGTTTTAGCCACATACATATCTCTGCCACGGTCATCTTCATACAGGCTACATATGTCTGCTATGTCCTGCTGTCCCATGTTGATGGGTTGCATGAAAACCAGTAGGATGTCAGAATGGTAGATATTCATACTTCTTCTCACCCAATCCAGTTCACCTTATCTGGGGAGGTGCCACATATCTGGACTTTTTTTTTCTGAAAAATGAGAATGAAAACAAGCCAAAGTGAAATAGAAATGAAATATTTTTTGCATCTCTAAAAAGTCAAAATAATTGCATGACAATGTAAGGAGTAAAAGTCAAAAGTTGGCTGGAAAGATAAATACTCCAGTAAATTTCTGCTTAGTTAAAGTAAAGTATTTGTACTTCATACTTGGCATCTCTTTGCAGTTAATTACAAAGAAAAAAACTAAAGAAGGAAATCATGGAAAGATTTGTCTCCCTCTTGTGATAAGCAGAAGATCCTGCGTCATTGTATAACAGCTGGCTTCATTTGGATTCAGCCTCATGTCCAGCTGGCTCGTCCTTCGTCGTCACACATCCCACTCCGCTCCATTGCTGCTGCGATGCTTTCACAGAAGCCTTATAAATAGCACAGAGCAATCAAATATTTATCATTTCAATCCGTGCGACCCTCGTCGCAGTGGACGGTCCTGCAGCGCCGAGAAGAAAACGCCACTGATACAGTTAACCCACACAAAAAAAATTTAATACCCTTCATGAGGGGATAAATGGTTCCGACTTTGACATACTAAATATTGAGAGGTGTGATGACACAGGTTTTTAATGTAAAAACTTGCAGCCAACACCCAAAATGTTCTGTAAAAAGCCATGTGACATGACTTCTTTACTTACATAGTTAGTACACATACACCAATGTTTGTAATATACTTATATATGTCTTCTTTTTTTGTTTGTTTGTTGCCTTTTATCTAGACCAGCCAGATACAGTACTGATTAATATACAGTCACATCTGGAACAATACTTATTCAACATCATACAGTCGGGCCGTCAGAGAGGAATCCACGGCAAGTATCCACAGCTTTCCTTTTCTCCACTAACATTAGAAATCAGCATTGAAAACTTTCTTCTTTTTTTTTTGATTAACGTTGTATAGACTGGTGGTGATACTTGTCCTTGTATCTCGTGTCTTCTGTGCAATTTTTTTTTCTTTTCTTTGAAAGAACCAAAAACATGATTGACATAACAGGATACCTGGCTGTTCACGTTACAGTTACTGCTTGATGAAGATTTTTTTTTAATTATTTTCCTCCGTTTGTTTTCTTTTTCTTTTTTGCCCCCTCTTTTTATTTAACAATTAAACAGTCACATCCAAATGCCACATCCCCTTGGCGAGCCACAGAAAATGGTGAAAATTAAAAAAGAAAAAAAAAAGTAAATGCTTCCCATGACCAGAGCGGGAGGCGATGACAGAGAGAAAGGTTTAAGACTACAGTGAGCAGCATCCTCCATTCATACATTTAAAGAATAAGGCACTGCTGCATAAAGACAGGACATGGCCAACAAATCTTTCTGGAAATATGATGAGGGAGAGGCAGGATGAAGGGAGACTGTTTTTCTCCAGCGACTCACAGAGAGTTAGCATGTGTCTGTAAATGTGCTTGTTTTTTACCATCTGCTGTGTGCAGGAACATTGTTGTTTATGGCATTGTGTGTTTGTTTTTTACACGTTTGTGAGTGGCTGAGATTATATTTTTTGCTACAATGTTTTCCTCAGACTGTGCTCTCAAGCATCCACTCGGTGCTGCTGAATGTAACTCTCCTGTTGGCGAGCGGCGATGACTCCGTGTTGAGCTGGTTGGTGGACTTGTGCCACCTCGTCCTCGCTCTGCGTGGGTAACTGTGACTCTGAAATATGGAGTAATCCCCACCGTCAAACGAGAATCGGTGCCTAGTTCGTGCCAGCTCATTAGGAAGTAACCCCACGTTGGCCAGAGCACTTTTCTTGTCCTTTAGCCTGGGGGCCTCCTTGGAGCCAGCAGTGGAGCCTATCAGGCACAGAGACATGGTGGAGCCTGTCAGGCTACTGTCAGTCTGCGTGTCCTCAGATGGCGGCCCAGAGCATTGGGCGTCCAAGCTGCTTCTTCTTTTCATCGTGTCCACCTTTGGAGGCAGCTCTACCTCCAGCACAGCACTGGTGGCTGCTGGATTCTCCTGTTTCTCACTGTCCACCCTGAGCACCAGCGCCATGCATTCTTTGGGCGCCTGAGCCTCCTGCTGGTCCTCGTCCGACTGCGGCTGCTTGGAAGTGGAGCGCTGGAGCCGCTGCTGGCTGCCGTTGGTCTGCGAGTGCATGCTGGAGCTGACTTTAGGTTTGCTGTCCACCGGGCCGCTGTAGGCCTTGTAACGGATCATCAGGATGATGATGAACACCAGCACCGAGGCGACGATGATGCCGCCGATGATGATGATCATGGTGCCCCCCAGGAACTGGCTGTGCATGAAGCGGCACTGGCTGACCTCGTTGGCCGTGTGGAACTGCACGCAGCCGACCACACGTGTGGCCGTCAAAGATGTGATGCCGTCGTCGTAAACCGCCAGCACGCAGAGGTCATACTCCCGTCCGGCAGCCAGATCGTTGATTAAAAAGTTCTTGCTGGTTGATGGAATCATTCTGCAGAGCAGAGAAAAAAACAGTTGTGAAGATGGAGAGCTTTAATAATGAGAATCAGAACACCCACATATACTGATTTGCATTAAGGTGCATTAAATCGCACATTGGTTTTCACTCGGCAAAGGAAAAAAAAAGAACTGAAAATCTTTACTAGCATAAAATATCAGCCATTTTGGTAGACAAGCAAAAAAGAATTGCTTATAAGAGAAAATGTTCCGTTATAAAACAGTTCTTTTAAAAGGAAAGCAAAGGTGATAAACAAGGCAGAGAAGGCTGTCTGTAATAAACCACAATAGCTGCAGGCTGCAGGACAAGTGATGCATGATGGGAAGTCAGTTTTGATGTGTGATTACCTAAGGTCACAGTTTGTAACTGCTAGATTAGACTAAATACGCAGGAGGAAAGCATTGTCTTCAGGTCAGCATTGGCGTTAATATAATTAGAAGCTTGTTTCTTTTCCCTAAAGGCGGGAAACTGGGATGGTTATCATTTATAGGTGATAATGTACCACCTGAAGACAAAACAACATTCATCCTGAAACTGAATGAGAAAATTATACAAGAGAGCTACTCATTATATTAAAAAAAACTTAAAAAAACAACAAAGAATGTCAATCAAGAATATTAGTTGGTTGCATTAATGCTAAAATCTGATGGAACATTAATTCGTGTCACATAGTTCAAAAGACAGATTGAGCTTTTTTTTTCTGTATTTTCAGAAGATCTTCAAATATTTGTTTTAACATCAGATTAATGAGTGAGTAAGCTCATTCTGCACAAATATCAGCCTTTATTAGCTGCTACTTATGGTTTGTTGTTTTTCTGTTTTACCCTCTGTAATAACAGCTTATCTGATATGAAACTGTAAATTATTATAAGAAACAATCTACATAAACTGAAAATTGACTTGTAATTTGCAACCAAGACATGATAATCTAAAATTAAAACACTGTTTTGTGTGTTTTTTTTAATCAAGTTTCTTATTTATATAATTTAATTTATTGCCCATAGCCAAAGGAGGACAATAGCTCACGAACAACTAGATGGACTTTTATTAAATTTTCACAAAATAATCACTGGATGTATCACTTCAACTAAAAACCTTTTGGAGTCAGACCAATTCAAAAAGGCTGCCATAGTTAAGTGACCTTAAACACTAAATTGATTGTAATTCAGTCAGCTTTACACATAACAAGGTACAATTTAATGTGGAAATAACTGAGTCGTCTTCAACACACAGTCTGAGTGAAATAGTCAACATATTTGTTTATAACTTTAGTATTTCTGTTCAAATAAACCTCGTTTAATAATGTCAGGAAAATATCTCATGAATCGTTAGATAGAATTTAGTGAAACTCTCACTCTTCATTCACATTTGGAGTCAACCCAGTTCAAAATGGCCACCACAGCTAATTGATTTTAACTTACATGCACATAGTTTGAGCTGTTTGTAGCTGAAAGTCATCTTCAACACATGACCTGACAAATCTTATCAGAAATGAGATCATTTAAAAGAATTTAAATTGCTGGTATGAGAAGTGGTGAGCAATATGAATCCCTTTAAGGAATAATAGGCCTTTCATTAGTTTCATATTCAAGTGCTGTACTCAGCTAATTATCAGGGATATGCCCATTTTATTTGTAGTTATACACCCACCCATCCACCCATCCATCCATCCATCCATCCATCCATCTCTGTGATCTTGAATGTCGAGTGTAGAGAGTGTGGTGACAGCTCTAACTGCACCGCCGTACTGCCCCAATTAATGCAGACACTCTAATGATACAAACAGTTGCACACAGTCAAATAGTTGGCCCTCATGTTACTGTTGTTGTTGTATTATATACTAATGATGCTGACAAGACCATTTTGTCCATCGGGGGTCCTGGACTTGCAATCCATTGAGCTGCTCACAGCAATCCACTCAGAAAGTAGAAACACAATTATCTTAAGTGTATAATTTACAATCCATGCTTACCATAATGCATTCAGAAACCACATGAGATTTTAACTCTGGCTACATTATAAAAGTTCTGCTTAGTTTTGATTATAAATAATGTGTTTTTAATCTTTTCCATCTGCCAATCTGCAAAAACAAACCTTTGAATTATTCAGGAGATCCCACCACCACTCTGGCTCACCTGTACACCAAAGTATCATCCGCTGTGCTGTTGTATTGTATTTGGTACATTCTGATCCCAGGGATGTGGCGCTCAGATGGCCAGCGGATCACAGCCGAGGAGGAGGTCATCTCTGTGACCACCACCCTCCTGTCCTGCTTGTCGTATCCTTTTGTGTCGTTGCCAGACTTGGAGGAGGTGGTGATGTCTGAGAGGCCCGGGTCCTCACGCATGTGGCCTGTGTTGTTAACAAACAGAGGCAAGGGGATCATGTTGATCTCAACAGCAGCTGTGGCGATGCCTGCAGCATTGGACGCCACACAGTTGAATGCCCCGCTGTCCTTCAGCGTGGTGATGAGAATATCAAGGGTGCCATTATCATACAGGATGGTGCGAGAGTTGTTATGCACCAGCTTGCCGTCTGGCGACCGCCAGTGAATATCCGGGTCTGGATCGCCCACGGCTTTGCATTTCAAAGTCACACCTTGGCCCTCCATCACAAATGGCTTGGAGGCAATGTGTTTGGTGATCAGTGGGGGCTCGCAGATGAACTCCTCCTCTTGGATAGACCAGAAGTATTTGTCCATGAGGTGTTCCGGTGAAGCACAGGTCTCCAGATCGTCCTCTCTCGTCAGCCTGCGCAGCCACAGCAACTCACAGTTACAGTGAAGCGGGTTCCCGCCAAAACTCACGGCTAGCGTGGACGAGCTGGAGCCCTTGGCATCAGAAAGAACCTGAGCGTGCTGGAACAGGCTGTCCGGCGGCAGCTTCTGCAGCCGGTTAGAGGTCATGTCCAGGCGGACTAGCTTAGTGAGCAGCGTGAATGTTCCCGCTTCAATGTGGTCAATCAGGTTGTGGTCTAACGTGAGGGTGTTAATGTTGGTCATCCTGGCTATGGCTTCCCAGGGAAGGCTGCGCAAGTTGTTGTTAGAAAAATCCAAGTCCTCAATAGTGGAAACAAACTCGTCAAAAGACGTCGGGGCCACTTGGTGGATCTGGTTGTTTCCGAGGATGAGGTGCCGTAGGTTAATGAGTCCCTTAAAGTGGTCACTTTTTATAACGCTGAGCCGGTTCCCGTCCATGTGGAGCGCCCGCAGGGAGCGCAGGCCTAAAAAGGCGTTGGGGACAATCTGACTAATTGTGTTGCGGGACAAAGTGAGGTGGACCAAACTGGTCATGTTGAGGAAGTCTTTCTTGCGGATGATGGTGATGAAGTTGTCTGTGAGCCGCAGCTCCACGGTCTTGCGGTCAATGGTGGGGGGCACGAATAACAAGCCCTTCTTTGCACAGAGCAGAGTCAGAGTCGGGGAGAGGTGCTGGCAGATGCAGTGGCCAGGGCAGATGAAAACCTTTACCAGAGCTGCACACAGCAGCGCGTACAGAACCAGCCGGTCCATTGTCGATTGTTTTTCTCCAGGCCCTGTGTTTGAGACAGACAGAGAAAAAATAAGAGAGATGGTGAGTGAAAAAAAGGGAGAGATCTTTGAATTAATAAATAGCATCATAGCCTTTATAAGAGCCTGCTGCAAACATCCAGAGTCTGACCAAGATTGCTGAGACTGCCAGGGAACCATCAATCACAAAATGAAATAGAGCTTTGGCGAAATAATGGCACCTGGGATGATGAAAGGCTGCGCCAGCACTGTAAGGAGCCCATGTCTCTGCACCCTTTTTAATGGAAATAACAGAACGTTTTTTTTTTGCCCACTACTAGGCTGCATCACCACTGGATCATATAATAGCTTGAATGATCACAGTGCAGTTTTCTCCTATTTGGTAACCATGCAGTCATATAACAAAGCTTGTGTGTTTTTCTTGCTCTGAATTTCACATCAGGGTGGAGAATTAAAGCCAGAAAAGGGCACATGTCAAATAGAGCTTGAGGATTTTTATGACCTTTTCATGTTCTGCCTGTGCTTCCACCACTAACTGCAAAAAAATTAGATAGAAACCTGTCATGTAAATCAAAATGGAAAATGTGAAAGCAACAAAAGCACGGCTTGTTTCGAGTTGGTCAGTTGGAGGCATTATTGGATGATTCTTGGCTTTGGTGGATGTTCTGATTCTCTGATTCTCATTTAGAGGTATTGATTTCAGCCTCTGAAAGAACACGCCTCTGGTGACAGGGGTAAAAAGTGATCCTTGGCTGTGATAAGCATAAGCGACCCCGGTGGAACGTAAACAGAGATGTGCTGATGACATATTGCCAGTTGTTTGAGCCACTTTGGCATCAGCCTTAACAGCTAAAGTCTTAAGCTTCACTGCTGATGGGAGAGACTGTTGATGCTGATTAAGTGCAGCGACGAAAACTTGCTTTTTTCTGCTCTAACTCCAGATCGACCCGAAGGTCTCTGCAGCTCACCACTTTCTCCTAACACGCATGATGACTCTTTTTCTTCTCTGCCAGCTCCAGAGTGTCAATCAGCAGCAATGTCTGTTTTTCTGCTGTTCAGCATAATTATTCTAATTGACTGAGGAAGTGTTGGCTGCAGATTCCGAACACAAATGTCTGTGGGTTTTTTTTTTCAGTGTTTATGATGCTTTCTCTAATTTGTCATGACTAATTTTAGAGCCTCTTTATATATTCTGCCATGTTGAGGTGGCGCTGACGTCTTTAACACCGCTGATATTCTGCACAATTCTGCCCAAAGCTTAAACATCTAATGATTCAAGAGCAACAACAGCTGTCAACAAAATCTAATTTAGGAAGTCCTGAAGCAAAATACATGCAATATTTTAAATGCCACACGTTGAAACGAGTTCAGCAAGTTGGTTTAAGCCCGTCCGTTTTTTTTTCCTTCTCAGATTATTCATGTATACGTTTTAAGATTAATTTCTTGACAAATGACATGTTACAAACCTTTACTCTGCTGTCAGTTTTGTGTTGTGCTCATGTTCAGCAGCAGCTAGCGCTAGCATTTTAAGTACTGACTGAAGCGCCTCCAGCAAAAAATAGAAAATATCTACGTAATGTGAAACTGACCATGATGTAAAGGTTTAAAAATATTATCATGAACTACTATTAGTGTTGTATAAAGTACCACAAAGTGATACTTGAATAAAAGTACAAGTATCTTACCAAAAAATGACTTTGGTAAAAGTTAAAGTCTCCTTTAGGAATATTACGTGAGTAAAATTATTAAAGTATCTGATATTTTTGTACTTGAATTTTAAAAGTAAAAGTATTGATTTAAAATGAGCAGTTAGATTTTCCGTAATGACATTTATTAGGAGGTGACCTCCCCAAAAACTGCAGAAATGACTGTACTTCTTAAGTACAATCATTTTATTTTAATGATTATGTCCTGCTGGAGTGTGGCATGATTTGTTTGTGTACAAACTAATACGGTATCAGAATTTTATATATTTATATTTCTCATTCAACCACAGTTAAATTCATTCTATCTAGGAGGCACAATTTATATGGATACTGTTTATTTTTTTACAATAACTAGCTGGAATGAAAACAAGCAAAAATGAAATAAAAGTAACGACTTCCTACTTCTTGCATTTTTTTCAAAATGTAAGGAGGAGAAAGTACAGATGATTGTGTGAAAATGTAAGAAGTAGAAGTAAAACGTAGGCTGAAAAATAATTACTCAAGTAAAGTATGGATACCCAAAAATTCTACTTAAGAAGAGTAAGAAAGTATTTGTAATTAGTTACTTTACAACTCTGGTCACTAAGTTTCAGACAATAGTAACCCACTTTAACTTTAACATCCAAATTAAAATCATTCAAAGACCAATCTGCAACAGGCAAATGATTAATTGCTCATAAACCTTCCACAGAAGCCACTTTAGAAGATCTTAACTATCCTGATCTCATGATAGAGTATTATCAAAGCTCATAAAAAAGGAGAGGCAGCCACATTGACCCATTGTGCATTTGCCAGCCAGTACTGTAAACTCTCAGTTGCTTTTCTTTCTCTCTCGCACACACTCTGCAGCAAACACACACAGACACACACTGCTGTCTGGTTGGCAAATAACTGGCAGACAACAGGGCATCTCGTTAGCTATGAAATACCGCTGTCCAATCAGAGTTCTCATTAAAATCTGGCGTCCTATGATATCATTATCTGAGGCCCGTGGAACAGCTTGAAGCACGAGCTCAAACCAGTGGGAGAGTTTATCAAAGACTGTTGACCAATTTTACTCAATTCCCGCAATGCAGCTTCTACTTTATTCTGCACTGGTCATAGCCACTAAACTGAGTTTGGAGGGAAACAAAAAACAAAAAACAAAAAAAACAAAACAAAACAAAAAAAAAACACGTAACGCAGATATTTGCTTGGTTGGTGTTTTCACCTTCTTGTCTGATTCTGGCTCTGCAGGTTGAACGGCAAAACTAAAACCAGTGAAGTGCAACATGCACACATACACTATAGTTCTCTAAATAAACTACGTACTTGTGCAAACATTGCCCAATAAGTTTAACAAACAGGCAAATTTATTTAGCAACACTTTTTAATTGTTGGGTAGGGATGATTTCCATTTTTAAGACAGCTAACACTGTAAAATTAATAACAATGCACATGAAACTTTGTGTGTCAAATACCTTTATGATAGTTACACTTTACTGTCACAACTTTGCTGGGTTGCCTTAGTATTCAGATGCTAACTGGGACACAAAGCTCATGGTTTCTCAGAGGACCATCTGTGCCAGAGCACTTCCTGCCACACCGTCGAGGATACTCTATTGATCTTTCAGCATCTTGGGGATGTAGGGGGTGGGGACTATGTTGCCACGGCAACTCTGGTGTAGAATGTAGGTCTTTGAATTGCATTAAGATGAAGATGAGCTGCTTGAAAAAGTGAGGCTTCAGTTTTAATGGGTGCAAAGATGGCAAGAGGGGACGTGAATAGATGTATGAATGGCCAAATAAATTAAATGAAAAGGGCAGCTCCGCCCCACATTTACTTTATTGCTTAATATCTGTGCGGGTCACTGAAGTCATCTCCAGACAACAGGAGAGCACCAGAGCAGTGGTTAGAGCTGTCGTCTCACAGAGAGAGGGTCGCAGGTTTGCTTCTCAGTTTGGGGCTTTTCTGGGTGAAGTTTGCTTGTTTTTTTTCTTTTTCTGGGGACTCTGGTTTTCTTCACCAGCCCAAAAACTTGCATGTTAGGTTCATTGATAACCCTAAATAGTCCCTGTGAATGACTGTTTGCTTCACTGGTCTCTCTGTCCCTGTGACGGACTTGTGACCTGTCCAGGGGGTGACCTGCCTCTCACTCAGTGACCGCTGGAGATGGGCACCAGCTCCCCCCGCGATCCAGGAAGGAGAAAGTGTATAAAAATAAATAAATAAATAAATAAATAAATAAATAAATAAATAAATAAATAAATAAATAAATAAATAAATAAATAAATAAATAAATAAATAAATAAGATTTTTTTGGTCAGGCATGTTTTGCAAGTGATTACTCAGAGACACATTGTTATTTTTAGAAACTGCATAAATAAAGAAAAATGAATTACAAATATTAGTCAACACAAGGAAGAAAAACAAATCAATTCAGTATTCATTTTAATAAATAATAAGCAAACAGATGCTGCAGAATAACAATAAAAAAGCAAGTCCCTGTTGATGTTTTGTTGCGGCCTCGCAGCTTAAGGGAATAAAGTCTGGCGTTATAGCAGCAGATGCTTTCGTATCAAACTGCAGCAAGGTGCACAAGCTGTGGTTCAGGCTGGTTTTTGTCTTTTAGCATCCTCTGGGCCCTGTGCAGACACATGACCTCATGATAATGTTCGGGGCAGTTTTAATTACTCGCTGCTGGGGCCTCCTGTCTTGGGGCATGCACAGCCCATGTTGGTCTGTCGTGTTTCTAGTCTGAATGCTCCACATTGTTCTTCTGCTGAATTTAACAAGATCTTGGCAGGGGGAGCGTAGCTTTTTAAAAGTTTCCTTAGGAAGTACAGCCATTCAAACAGATTGTACCGGTGACATATGCCATATGCCCATACGCACATGAAGCAGTGATTTGGAGCAAACAGATTGTACAACTGTTACTGGATACAAAAGGCTGAACAGAAATCTTCAAGACGTTCAAAATGTTGTTAATGTAAACAAAGAATTTGGATTTTGCATTTCTTGCAAAAATGCAGTGTGAAAGCTTAACGTTGAGAGATTTTTGCAGAATATCTATTAAAAAGCTGGTAAAATAGCTAAAAGGTAGCTGAAATAGCATAAATTAGTACAAAGAAACAGAAACAGTATGTTTGCCGAATTAAGCAATAAGAAGCTGAAATCAGCACCATATAGTGAATGTAGCTGAAGAAATCAAATTAGCTAAAAAGTAGCTAAAAACACAGAACAGCTTAAATTAGCAGAAGCATAGCAGAAAATATCAAAATAACCGTAAAAAAGCAGAAAAAAGCTAAAATCAGCAAAATATATGTTGAAGGAAGCTGAA